AGAATTCCCCAGCCAGCATGCTGGCTGGGGAATTCTAGGAGTTGAAGTCTGCACATCTTAAAGTTGCTGACATTGAGAAACACTACTGTAGAGTGAGTGTTCCATAGCAGAAAGAGCCTAAATTCAGATCTCATCAGCCCTATAAATGCCACCCCATCCCTCTTGTTCTTCTTAGCAGGAGAAGTCATAAGTTGCACATTGATTCTGTGCAGAATGAGCATAAGGTAATGTCCTGTCCAGCGTACCTCACAGGGTTGTTGATAAAATGAAGGGCAATTCCCATATAAACTGCCTTGAAAGGCAGTCTACCCGTCTGACAAGTAAAAGAAATACACTTAACTTTTCTGCAGGTCCAAATCTTTTCACAAACATGTTTTTGAGACCCTGCCAGCCTCTCTGCCAATGCAAACTATTCTTATCAAAGCCAGCCATGTACTTACCACCTCTCGCCCTTGCAGACCACCTTGTCCCCAACTGTCCCCAAACACCGAATGGAACAATCTAAGGTGAGCCGTCAAGAACAACCCCTTCCCCTAACTCCAACAAACAGCCCAGTCAGGGGGTCAAAAAAACCAAGGTGGTGCCACAACCATGCAATTGAAGCTCCACCCCTTTTTATGTGCCTTGGGGCTTTATGTGAATGTAAAAAGGGGTGAGGCTTCAATCCCATGGTTGTGGCCGCCATCTTGACTTTTCTGACCCCATCCTTGCAGATATCCCCGAGCTCAGCAAAGAAGCTGCTGGCAGAAGGGACATTGCTGAGGGACAGAAGAAACCAAGGTTAAAAGAAAAAAAAAGACAGAATAATAAAATCTGGTTGAGGAACGCAGAGCAGCTTTGCTAATGGACTAGAGTAGGAAGTGGCTGTGGTGGGAGGGGATGATGGGAGCTATAGCCCCACTAAGTCTGGAGGATCTGTTCCTGTGATGAACCTCTTAAGGGCTGCAGGTGAGGACCTTCAAAGGTGATGGTGGGTCAGAGGTCCTTCCTTCTCCTGCACTGCTCCCAGATTTCAGAAGCTGCTCCCCAGGAGCTGCGTTGGGGCATCTGCTCTCTCCGCCTTTAAAAATCCGTGAAGACGTTTTCTCTTGTTCACCAGGTTTTTAATGAGATGATCTGAGCACTTTATTGTCAAATCGCATCTGTGTTTTTAACATTTTATGTAAGTTTCATTTGCTGCATGGAACGTGCCCCAGACCAGACTAGGGAAGATATGTTTCAATAAAATAAAGTCATATAAATACAGAGTTGGAACAAATAAAAAGGCCTTTTCCTGATGCTGGAAGGAGATCAGATAGGCTGTGAATGAGGGTTCATCTGACAACTTCGGAAGACAAAGGATTTGGAGAACCAAGTTTCACAAATGAGTCGGAAAGCCCCCGGACACGGATAGGGAAGATCACCACTTGATCCTTGCAGATCCTAACCTTCCTTCTAGGCTGCCCCAGATCACAATGCAGACCTGCTTTAGGAATTAGTGAAGGCCTCCTTGCCCAGACATTAACTCCCTCTAATATAGAATACGAACGTTAGAATTACCAGTGTCAACTATTCCAACCCCCTGCTCAATATAGGATCCATTAGAACAATGTTTCTCAACCTTGGCAACTTTAAGCTGCGTGGACTTCAAGTCCACACAGCTTAAAGTTGCCAAGGTTGGAGAATTCTGGGAGTTGGCTGGCTGGAGAATTCTGGAAAATGAAGTCCACACAGCTTAAAGTTGCCAAGGTTGAGAAACACTGCACCAGAGCAATTCTAACAGACAACCTCTATTTTAAGAATTCTAGTGAAGGAGAACTCACCACACCATCTGGCAGCCCATTCCACTGGCTGACAGCTCATATTTTCAAGATGTTCCTTCTGATGTCTAAGCTTGAATCTCCTTCCTTGTCATTTTAATCCACTGGTTCTGATCCCATCTTCAAGGCCGATAGAGACTAAGTCCACTCCTTATTAGCAGCATCCATACAACCTGCTTAACCTGGTTCCTGAATTCATCCATTTTATTTCTTTTGCCCTGCACATTCAGCCACATAACCAGGAGCTCCTAGATCTCTAACTGAGCAGGTCAAGCAGGTGGCATGAATCCAGTTATCTTTGGTCTGTGCACATATGTGCGTGCTGGAGCCCAAAGTCACAAAGTGATGTGATGTCTAAGTTACTTGCAGTTTGGGATATCCAGGGCTAATTACAATAATTTTACTCCTTCTTCCATATCCTAGGAGACCCTAGCAGGAAGCTATTCCTGACACTATTGGATAATTCTTCCATCATAGCAGGTCCTTGCCCAGAAATCTCCCTCGGAATCAATGTATAGGCAAAACAAACATTTCTGTTGAGGAATTTTCATTTGGCATGATTTACTGTTCAGATTAGTTTGTAAGCTGTTCAGAGCCACACTGAAGGGAGCAGCATCTCAATTTGTAAAAGGAAGGAAGGAAGGAAGGAAGGAAGGAAGGAAGGAAGG